CTGGGTGAGCTCCCCCCTCCAGGGACATGGGACATCATAGTGTGAACACTCCCAGTGGGAGGAAGAAGAAGCTGGCTCCATCAGTAAAGAGAGGGGAGCACAGCCTCTAGTGGGTAGAGGTTTGGGACCACAGAAGCTCTAGCACTCAACTCTCTAGCTTTGGCCCTCACTGTACCCTCCCCTGAGATGTCTCTAGGGCCCGGCTTGAGGGTTTGTTCTAAGGGCCCAGGGGACCATGCATAGGCCAGCCCATAGGACACTCAGGGCCTCTTGGAGTTACACAATTCTACTCCTGGAGACAAGCTCCAGTCTGTATTTCCAAAGAACAAGTGACCTTGACTCCACCATGTGGGCTCTAAGGGGCTGCTTCCAGGACAGATTCCTGGAGAGGGATGGCTGGGGTGGAGCCCTGCTGGGATAGGATCTGGGCAGTGTGTATGTGTGTGTTGGGGGGGAGGGGGCAGATGAACACAACCTGCAGGTCCTGGGAGCCTGCAGGCTTCCTGGGCTTGCTCAAGCCTTTCTCACTGGGTGCTGACTTCACACCTGCCCTGTGTGTGTCGGGGAGTACTCACACCTGGGCCATTGGCTCATCTCTCAGCACCCTTTGTCCTGCTGCCCTCAGCACCCAGGTGGAAAGTGACAGGAAGGGAGAAATGGAAGGCATTTCCCCTGGGGCACAGTGGACCCCAGGGAGAGCCTCACTGGGAAAGATCCGCTGACCTCCAGATCCAGTGAGACCAGGGACAGGCCAGCCAGCCCCCAGGGGTTCTCCTACGGAGTACACATCACTCTTTGCAGATATTTCCTATCTATAGAGAGAGAACAGGGTAGTTAGCGTATGCATCCAATGTAGACATCACTGGGTGTAGATGGCTCCAGGCAACTGTGCTTAAGAAAAAGAGATGGGGGCTGGGGGATCCCCGCAAGGGCTGTTTAAGACAGGAGGGACACAGCCAAGGCCAGGCCTAGTCACCAGGATCAGTGACCCCAAAGACCCTCTCTCCGCGTGGAGGGAGTGCTTCACGAGTGCCTCCCACTGATTTATGGTCCTCCCAGGGGAGTTGGAGTTATGGCTGCAAAGACCCCAGCTCTCTCGCTCCTCCACCTCCCTGCTGGGGTCAGCTGGGGTGGGGGGCTGCCTTTCAGCTGGCTTCCAGATGGGCTTTGTGGAGGGACACCTGGGGGGGGGGTGGGAAGAGGCCAGATATCCCAGTAAGTACCTGGTCAGTGTCAGCTGGCCTTGGTCTCTCTGTGTTCTCTCCTTTTCTGGGCCTGTCTCCCATCTCTGTCTCAGGCAGTCTCTGTGACAGCAGCCCTTGCCGCCCTTCTTCCCCACCGGTTGGCTAGGGTGGGTGGGGGTGGGGGCTGGTGATTTATCACTAGCCGCCTGTCTTCCATCGGAAACGCTGGGGGTGGGCGCAGACGGTGAGGTGAGCTATGGGCCCCCAGGGCCCCGCCACCCACCCCAATGTTGTTGCTGTGTCTGGGCGGCGGGTGCGGTCCTCCCCCTCCCCCCCCAACATGGCCTGGGTTTGGGCCCCCCACACCTTCCTAGGGCCTCCTTCGTGAGAGGGCCTCAGGCGGGTCAGCCCAGTTCCTAGGCTTCCCAAGGCTGGAGGGGGCCCATGAAGAACCCCAATGCAACCTTGGTCCCCGGGGGAGTCGGGAGGTGACAAAACCTCTTTCCCTGAGCGCTTGCCACCACCTTCCCTCCCCCCTCCCCAAATCCTTGGCAAAAGCTGCTTGAGTCCCCGCCCCCCACGCAAGGCACACAGCAGGGGCCCAATAAGTGTTTACGGAGCAAACACCAGCAAGAGGGAGGGAGGGCGCACCTGGGCTGACCCCCGCCCCTCACACGGGACGGAAGAGGTCCCTTATCTTCGCGGTTGACGGGCTGTCAGTAGCCTAGGAGGGAGGGGGAGGGAAGGGGGACGCGCTCAATGTCTCCGCCTGGCAGCTGCAGCGCTGCGCCCTGCTCTCCATCCCCACCAGAGGGCGATCTGACAGCCACTCTCGGTGCCGCCCCGCAGTGTGGACACGCCCCTGTCCCACCTCTTTCACGGTGGCCAGCCAGGGTTGTCTGCACCCCTAGCGCCCACCTTTGCCGACACTCTGCAGTTTTCTGCAGACCGCGAGCGCCCTCTGGTGCCAGCCCAGGGTCTCGGCACCTACCGGGCAAGGGAGGGTCACAGCCCAGGCAGCCCACACCCATTTCTCAAATGAGGCGATAGAAGCTCTCAGTGGGAAGTCGTGCTGTGTCTATCCTGGGGCTGCGGGGTGGCCTGGCTTGGGATTCCATCTACGTAACTAACTCCTTGGCCAGTCATTTGGCTGTGTGCAGGCCCCACATGTGGCTTGAGTTCCAAGTGGCCCTCTGGGAAACCCACCTGGACACGGTGTCCTGTGCCATGTGACTAGACAAGGTCGGGAAGAATCCAAAGACAATGGGCTTGAGTGGTACCTTGAATAAGGATGACAGTCACAGAAGGGAAGGCATACTGGATAGAGGGACTGCCATGGGCAGAGGTGTGGAGAGTCCAGCTGGTGGGACAGGGTGCATCAAGGACTGGCCCTCGATCTCAGGCTGAGGTCTTGGGAGCCCAGGGGGCTGGGTGGGCAATGTGGTATATTAACCTCTGACCCCTTGGGCTGCAGGGCAAGGAACCCTGAATCAGCCAGTCTGGGACCTATAAGGGAGATTGGGGAGGGACTTGAGGAGGCCTCCTGACTTGCCTTGATCTGGGAGGAGTCTGAGGCCACTGATGGGACAAGCTGTGAGTGAAGAGGCCCCGGGGCAGACATCTTCTCTATGAAGTAGAGCAGGGCCAAGGGACTAGGTGGGGGGAGGGTGTGCATCCCCTCTTTGCTGGGCTATTCGGGGGCACTGAGCTGGGACCATCTACTTCCTCACATTCTGGAGGCTGAGAGTCCAGGGTCAGCACGTGGAGGGTCAGCTCGGGGTCAGAAGTTGTGACTGGGGACTCCCAGGCCACTAGGGAAGGTCAGCCATGGAGGCCAGACCAGTATCTTGGCACCAGACAGTTTAGACCATGGAGCACCGATGGAGGGGGGAGGTCCTGCCCCAGTTACCAGAAAGCAGGAAGTTCTTACTTATGTCTGACCACACTGATTTCAGCCTTGCTTTCCCTCCAGAAGAGCCCCTTTCCTGCAGCTCCTGCCCTCCAAGGCCCCCAGGCCCACCCTTCCTCAAGACACTGGTCCTGGAGCAGTGGGCAGTGGGCAGTGGGCCTGGGCTCTTTCCCGTAGTTCTTGCTGGGGCTTAGCTCTTAGTCCAGGAGGACATCCTTTTCTTAGCTTAGAGTCACCTTGGACCCCCGGCCACTTTTTCCTAAGCCATGCATTTGTTCCCTAAAGACTCTCAATGAGGACCCCAGGGACCTGTCTCAGATCTGTTCCCAGCACAGCCACAGAGAGAGCTCTGGGGACCAGCAGGGCTACCCTCTCTGAATTTAGTTTCCTCCTCCTGCAACTAGTGGGGACACCCCCTCACCACACCGTGTTCCAGCTGAGTTTAGGGAGTTGTATGTGGACCTCGACTGTTACCTCTGACCTCTACCAGGGGTTCTGGGGTTGACAGGCCACCCCTGGGGATGATAAGGTAGGCAGTTCATTTGTACAAAGGGGGACACCATCCCCGATGTGTTGATAAGGCCGGATGGACAACCAGACCATCGGCTGCAGCCCACAATGGGCCGGATGCCCTGCACCTGCCCACAAAGGAGGGGATGGCTCTTGCCTCATGTCTGACCGGCAGCCTCAAGATAGCATCAGCCCTACCGGAGGGTCATCTGTCTTGTCCCACAAAGGCCAAGACAAAAGCTGTGTCAGCCACAGCCTCCCCAACCTGGTCAGTGGTGGAGGGGATAGGGAGGAGCCTTCCTGTGTCCGGACTTGAGGCTCTTCATTGAGGTCCTGAGAAAACAACAGCTTTCATTGTTTACAAGACCAGTCACATGTGAGCCATAGCAAGGACAGGAGAGGGATCTGTCCCAGGTACCTCCAGGCTGGCTCCAACAGGGAAGAAAATACCACCAGCATTTGAGCACTGTGCCCATTGGTAGCCACCTGTGCTGGGACCCCCAGGAAGGAATCAGAGGACCTGGCTTTACAGTGGAAGGCCATGGAATGGAGGGAGGTGTCAGTGAGATAGGGGAATTGCTGTAGAGGCAGGAGGTGAGTGATCAGTGAATGAAGGGCACCATGTGCTAGGTAGGAGGAACAGTGTGTGCAAAGCTTAGCAGGGAGGGAGGACAGGTGGGGGGCACCTGAAGCCTGGGGAAGCAGAGGCCATGGGGTGGTGGCGGGGACAGTGCTCAGGTAGGAGAAGTCTCAGCAGAAGGGGCTGGAACTGCTGCTGCAGGTTGGGGGTGGGGTGGGATGAGAAGGTGTGACTGCTGCTGTGGGTTGGAGAGGTGGGATGGGAAGAAGATGTGGAGGCACTCAGAGTGGAGGCACCCAACACCTCAAGAGACGCTGGTGTCCACTCAACTTCAGGGTCTGTTCATGGGTCCCGTCTCCCATAGTCCTAACACCTGGTACAACAAAGGCCACTCCTCACTCTGATGGCTGGGGGACCACAGACTCTACCCAACTGTCCTCACCATACAGAGTTGCTCCAACCTCAGTTTTCCAAGACTGCTCTGAAAGCTGACTATCATCCATCAGGGTCGCTGGTGGGAGACACCCAGCCCCTGAGCTGCCCTCAGCGTGTCCTCGTGGCCCCCTCACTGCAAACTCCCCCCAAGCATCCTCAGTCTGCCTGAGAGATGCGTTGGGGGCAAGTGCTGGGGGCAGCGACCTTTGGGATAGTGCGAGACAAAGGGTGTCATCCACTGATTCCTGTTTGTCCCGAACCAATTTGGCTAATTGTGAAGATATGATTGTGTCCCCTTGAACCGCCTCCCAGGGGTCTTTTCTGGGGCTTGGTAAGGGGAATTCCAGGTCGCACAGCGCAGAGACCAGCAAGATGAGGAGGAGAAAAGTTTATTCAGCACAGAGTTTGGGAGGGGGAGATTCTGAAGTGTTGAACTGCAGCACGGACCCTCCACCTCTCCACCTCCCTCAGCGAGGAGGGCGCAGGGTCGGCTCACTCCAGTAGTGCGTGCAGCAGCTCGGTCCCACGTGGATCTGGGCCTGCGGGGATTGGAGGGTCCAGAAGATTGGGCAGGGGCAGAGGCCGAGGCGGGTCCAGGTTAGGGTGAGGGTTCCTTGGGCAGGGTCCCGTGGAGTTTGCAGGCCTGTGTCGCTCAGGGCCAGTCCGTTCCTCTTAGGACGCGCCAGTTCCGGCGGGTTCTGTCACCAGCGGGGCAGTCAGCGATAACTGGTGTGCGCGCGGGCGCGGGCGCGGGCGCGGGCGCGCAGGCTCCGCAGGCGACACAGCAGCAGCGCTAACAGCAGTGCGTGCAGCAACCCGAGGCTGAACAGCGCGAGCTGCGCCGCCAGCGCCCCCCAGCAGAGCCGGCCAGGGGAGCAGGCGCGTAGCTCGTCCTCGGTCAAGTAGGGCAGCAGGCGGCCACGCAGCGCGGGGGGCGAGACGCAGCGCAGATCGCGATAGGGCGCGCGTTCGGGGCGGCCGGCCAGCCAGGCGCGCAGCGGCAGCAGGCGGCAGTCGCAGCGCCAGGGGTTGCCGCCCAGGTGCGCGGCGCGCAGCGCGGGCAGCGCATCCAGCAGCCCCGGCGGCAGTGCAGTCAGGTTGTTGCCTGTCAGCACCAGTTCGGTGGTGTCGGGCGGGAAGGTGGCCGGCAGCGAGGCCCACGTCAGCCCGCGGCGCCCGCAGTCCACGAGCGTCCCTGCGCAGCTACAGGGCGCGGGGCAGCCCGGGGCTGGGCGGCTGGGCGGTGCCAGCAGCAGGAGCAGTAGGCTCAGCGCCCCGCGCGGCCCTGGAAGAGAAGCGCTGCGATGAGTCTCGGGCGGCGGGCGGGACACCTGGGTGTCATCCCTGAGCCTCGGAGCGCTGGGCTCGGCTCTATCCGGCGCCGCAGGCCCGTGGCCCTCTTAGTCTGCAAGCCTCTCCACCCCGACCACCCTACACGATCACTGGATTTCCCTTGTAAGTCTGATCCAAATGACCAGAACGTCTCCCAACCTGGGGCTGCCCAAATGCAACAGCCCCGACCCCAGACTCACGGGAACCCATGGCGAGAAGGCGGTGGCCCGGCTTGTTCTGGAATGGGAGCCAACCCGCTCTTGCCAGGCCCCGAGCTCCCTGACCACAGCGCTGCCGCCGGCCAGAAATAACCAGGAGGCGGCGCGGAACAGCGCTTCAGCAAGAGATAGGGCGCTATCTCCAGGGCCCGCCGGCGGCCCAGGTTTCCGCTCCCACCCGCTCCCAGGGGCGCACGGAACACTCGGACACTCGCTGCGACGTTCACCAACATTGTTCTCCTGTCACCAGGACAGGACGCGGCATTCACAACTGAACAAAACGGAGCACGGGGTGTGTAGAGAGGACGCATGCGGGTGGAGAGATGGAGACCCAGGGCTCCTCCAAGGATCCCAGCGCGACAGTGCTGCTGGGGAGAGGGGACTTCGAGCGCTACGGGCGGGCGGGAAAGGCTGTCTAGGTACATGGGGTTGTGAGGGATGGCCCACCGCCCACTGCCTCTGGAGCCCCCGCAGGTTAGCCTAGACTGTGAGAAAGGGAACCTGGGCGGCCACAGGCGTTCCGGCCCCGCCCTCCTCCTCAGTAGGCTTCCCAACTGCTTCAGCTGTCCTACCCGGCCGCTCTGGTCCCGAGCAAGGGTGAGGGGATAAAGAAGGACCCGGCCCACCTCAGCAGAAAGTAGGATGTCAACATACGCTGGGTGGTCCACGGGAACCGGCAGAGGAGGGCTCCCAAGTCCGCTCTGCGGCACTGGGGAGGGGAAACAGACCCAGGATCCTGGTGATCCGTTCACCACCTCTGCCTTGGTTTACCCGCCTGCCTGCGCAGTACCTGAAGTCTGGGTCCTGTGGCCTTCTGGTGTGTGGCGGGGATGGATGGGGTGGGGGGGAGGGGGAATCGTGAAAATTGTGCCCAACTTAGCTCTTGCTCCCCCAAGGCCAGAGGAGACCGGTTGAGGAGGAGCTGTCGTCCAGGCCCCTTGGAAGCAGATACAAATGACCTGGAAGGGGTGGATACTGACAATAAATTAGGGTCATCTAGGAACGGTGGCTCGGAGTCTCGGGTAGGTAACAGTCCCGTTAGGGCCACTCTGGGTTTAAGAGTTGGGTCCAGGCCCATCTGAGATCCAGGTGAATCCAGGGTGAAGTCCAGGCCAGTCTGGGATCCAGGGGTAGGAGGTGCCAGCCCGGAAACGGGTGGTCTATCCGTGGCGACATGGGGCTGGGACAGAGTGTCACTGGTCTTGCATTTGCTGCTTCATCTTCTGCAGCATCTCCTGCATGCGCCTTAGCTAGTGGATGGGGTGAGGTCGGGGTGAGAAATGAGGAGGCCCGGCCCCGCCCCACCCCACCACTGCCTGGAGTCACCCTTAATCCTGGCCCACCCTCTCCACCAACCAACCTCCTCATCCTTCATCCTGATGAGCTTCTCTGTCTCTGCATCTGGGGTGGGCAGCGGTAGGATGGGGATAGGACTCTCCATGCGATTGTCCTGGGTCAGTTTGCTGCGGAAGATAAGAGGGACAATCGCTGCTGGGGAGTTCAGAGTGGTGGGCGGCTGGGGGATGCCTGGCGACTTGGGGTTTGGGAGAAAGGTCAGGTCTAGGTGGGCGGGGCTTGCCCCCGGAGTGACGGGGGGGAGGCGGGGGGGGAGAGGTAAGGTGCGGTAGGAGTAGCGGAGGGGGCAGCCTACCTGGTCATCTGCTGGATGCAGTGCGCGCGGTAGTTCTCGTAGTGCACGTCACACGTCACGTCCTTGAGGTCGTGCATGTGCGTGCGGATGAGCATGTTGCGAAGCTTCACGAAATCGCAGTGCGCCTGGTTCTCCACTGTGGGGCAGGAGCGGCCAGTGGGTGGACGCCAGCCCGGGGGAACCTCCACCCCATCCCTGGTGCCCCAAGCCTCAACTCACCCTCCACGATCCCCCAGGGGTACAGTCGTCCCCGGACCCTCTGTCCCTTGGCTTCCACCACCGTGTTGCTGCCAATAACAGCGAAAGGCGCACTCTCCTGGGGGAGGGAGCAAAGAAAGGCTCAGCGCGGACAGGTTTAGAGGTTGAGAGCCATAGCCACCCATCCAGCATGGCCGTTATCCACCTCCCCGCAAAGAGAACGGGGCATCGCCCCTCTTCTGGCCTCACTGCTGTCCACTGAAGCCACTCAGCCTGTGTAACTCACACCCTTTGGGGGCCTCCTGCCAGGCTTTGCTCCACCAGGCTGTTTCACTCCAGATCTCTTCCCTCCCCACCAAAACCCGCTCCTAGTTTCTGCCCCTCAGTGGAGCCCAAGCCCCCTGGTGTGTGCCCCTGTACTGACCCAGAAGCCTCCTGCCCCTGGCTTGGATCTTGGTCATCCCCACTCTAGCTCCTGGGGCACCCAAAGCCACCACCCTCTAGAGTTCAGAATTCCGGAAGCCAGGGTATGCCACAGACCTGGGCCACTGGGCTGAGCCCTTCAGCTGGTGATTCCCAGAAAGCCTGTCAGGGTGACCCAGGCAAATGTTCTATGACTCACTAAGCACTTAGGTGAGGCCCAAAAGACCTGCCACAGGCCCGGCTGGGATATGGGTGACCTTGACCATTTAGCCCTAGATGAAGGGTGTTTAGGTCCTCTGTCTCAGAACCAGTGAATCCTGCCCTCAGGCTAAACCAGGATGCTAAGCCCTCTTTTGGGCACTAAGTAGCCTCCAGTTCTCTGCCGCTGGCCACCTCATGCCCTCACCTCACCAGGCTGCATGGTTACCTTCAGCTCCCGGTCCTGCTGCTTGAACTCCTCATCCTCGTCTGAGTCACACTCTGGAAACTGGTACACATGGATCCCAAACTTGTCAATTTCCTCCCGGATCTGCAGGGATAGGAAAAGGAAAGGGCTCAGATTTAGAGTTTGCCAGGTCTTCCCAATGATCTTAGCCTTAAAGTCATTGATTGGCCAGGCCCCTCTGTCACAGCAGGCTCACCCGCTCCTTCAGCTTCCGGATCTCACTGGGGACCAGGCAGTCAGCTTTGGCAATGAGGGGGACAATGTTCACCTTCTCGTGCAGAGCCTTCATGAAGCCCACATCCACGGGCCGCAGCCTGCAGAGGGCAGCCAGGGGTGGGGTAGGCCTGGTCAGGGGGCAGTGATGCTGTGACACACACAGCCAAGGGGATACACTCACTGCTTGTGGCTGAACCCCAAGCCCAGCCCCAGGAAAGTCACACACCCGTGCCCAAAGGGGGAGATGAAGTACAGGCAGCAGTGCACCCGGTTGTCTTGGATGTTCTTTCGGTTGAGACCGCTCTCATCACGGAAATACTGCTCAAACTGCTGGTCCACGTAGTCTGTGATGGGCTTCCAGCTGGGGATGGAGGGAGCACGAGGCCACTGCAAAAGCTGGCCGCTGACCAGGGGCAGGTTGGGGTTGCCTGGGGCAGGGTCCCATTCCCCAGCCAGGCCTTCCTCACCACTCAGAGTTGTTGACAGCATCCCCGAAGCCTGGGGTATCCACAATGGTGAGCTTCAACTTGACCCCCTTTTCCTCAATGTCCACTGTGTGCTTTAGTATTTCTACTGTCTGATTGATGCGTTCTGCAGAGAGAGGAGGGAGGCGTTCTTTGGAGGGGCATCTCCAGCCCTTGCCTCCAACCCCGGGCACCCAGGATCCTTGTCCTTATTCACCTTGGTGCCTTGTTACTAGCCACACTGCCTGACTGGGATCTATGCCACTCATTCTGGAACCTGAACAAATATCTGTTCCTCAAGAATAGTGGAGCTAGACTTAGAAGGGTGCCCTTGAGGTTCCATGGCAGGGTCCATGGTGGATCGGTGTTAGAACTGTGCAGAGGCCACTCACCCTCGGCACTGAGCAGCTTCCGGTCCTTGTACAGGTCAGTCAGGAAGAGGCTGTGGACAAGCGTGGACTTCCCCAGGCCTGACTCACCTGGTCACAGGTGAAGGACTGGGGTTAGGTCTAGGGTCCCTATGACTGAGTGGCTGGCCAGTGGCCTCAGACACTCCACCCAGCAGCCCGACCCACTCACCAGCCACCATGAGCGTGAAGTCAAAGCCCTTCTTCACCGATTTGCGGTGCACCTGGTTGGGCAGTGTGGCAAAGCCGACGTACTGCTTGTCAATGTCCTGGGGACAGGGGTAGGCAGGTCAGGGGCATACTGAGGTTCCTCTATGGCAGCCCAATGCCCTGTCCCCTACCTGACTCAGGAAGAGGAGACAACAGATGGCACAGTTCCAAGCTGGGACATTTCATTGGCAAAAATGGGATGAGGGTTTGTGGACAAAGGCCTGAAGGTGGGAGGGTAGCTGATGGGGTGGCAGGAAAATTCACCCTGCTCCAGACTCCTTGCTTGCAGTGACTCCAGACTGCAGGAGGTACCCCAGGGTGTCAGGTTCCAGCAAGCGGTATCCTCCCTTGGTTAAGAGGCACCAATACTGAGGACCCCCTCCCCCCAGACAACCTGAAGGTCCTCCACTGGCTGGAAAAGCTGAGGCCTCAATACTGGCCCCTCCCCAGTGTACCCAGGGTGGGAGGCTCATCTGGCCCAGATCCAGCCCTGGGGGCGGCGGCAGAGCAGGGGCTATTTATAGACAGCGGCGCCAAGCCTCCCCCGCCCCCAGCAGACCCTGGCCCTGTCAACCCCTGCCACGTCCGGGAGCCCGAGGGTCCTGGCCAGGCAAGCGTGCACACACTGACCCACATTCCACCCTCTCTCTCTGTGTCTGTTTCTCTCTCTCCACATACACACACACCTTGAGCCGCCTCTGGGCCTGGGTCCGTGGCGACAGCAGCTGTTCCACCAGGCGGTCCTGGGGTGCTGCCAGTGAGTCCATTGCGACGACCCTAAGGACCCTGCCAGCCGTGATCAGACTCCAGACCAGGTCAGGCCGACAGAGACCCAGTGTTCTTTGGCCAAGGACTTAGTAGAGCTCTTGCTTTTAAGCCTTCTCCTCGGCCTGCTTTTGCAGTTATGGGAACTGAAGCCCGGATAAGGGACGTCACCTACCCGGGGGGCCGCCGACCCCAGAGGCCGCTGGGGCCATCTCTTATCTCTGCGGGCCCTCTCGGAGCTGCGAGCTGCGGCGACGTCGCAGCCTGGGCAGGCCGAGTTCCCGCACCCGAACCAGAGGCGGGGCCTCGCAGGCGCTCGCGGCAGGGGGCGGTGGAGACCGCCCCGCCCGCCGTCGCCGGGAAACAGTCGCCTGGAAATTGGGCCGCGGGTGGAGCCACCGGAAAACTGCTGCGCAGGGCAGAGCCCAGTCGAGGCGCGGAGGCGGGCCGCTGCGCGTGGACCGGGAGTCCCGCCATGGCACCCGCGGCCTGGGTCCAGGCGTCTGGGCAGCGGGATTGGGGGCGGGGAGAGGTCAGGTCCGCACGCAGGCAGCGGGCGGGGGTGGGGTGGGGTGGTGTCTGTGGTCGCCGCGCGTCCCGCACCCCTGACGCGGCGCGGCTTCTGCCCGCCAGAGGGCGCTAGGGGACGCTCCGACCCACGCGCAACCTCTGGGCTCGCCTGCTTCACTCGGCCCCAGTTACCCACGGACACGCTCCTCCCCACTCCTTGGGGCTGACTTCCCCCGTGTGCGAGTGTGCACTGGGGATTCTTTCCTCGCCTAAACCACCTTCTTGATGAGTCCAGCGTGGAGCTACCCCATGCCTCTCTGCAGACGCTCAGGATGGGCAAAGGGAACGAGGGGGCGATGGCAGTCAGAGTCCACGAGGGGCCCTTCCGTCCAAACTTGGAAGCCCTGGCCAGCAGGCTGCTTGCAAACTCTTTGCCCACCACAGCCCCCTGATGGCCCCTGCCCTTGGCGGTGGGGTGGAGGTGAGAGAATGGAGTGGGGTCCCGCCCTCACTGGTCCACATGGACTCTCCCTTCCCTTCCGAGTTTTCCCCACCGCTCTGACCCCCAGGATTTGGCTTGGCGAATGTGGGATAGGAGAGTTCCGGCCAGCTAAGCCCTCACCCCTGTGTGGCCACCCCAGGAATAGCAGGGGTCTGCAGAGCTAGAAAAATCACCTGCTGTGGGCCACCAAAGCCTTCCTTATTCATTTGGGGACCTCACCAGAATCAGAAGAAATCTGCCTAGGGTGTTTGGGGGGTTGGGCAGGAGAGGGAGCCTGGAAAGGCTCCAAGATGACTGGATGGGTCCCTGGCCAGTGTGGGACAATAGGACTAGGAGACCAGGCAGCACACCCCCTTCTTGGCTGTGGAGGGGCTTCCACCCCCTGTCCAGGCCCTGGTCCTGCTGTGGGGCATGGAGTCTCGTGCACCTGGGGAGGAGGGTGGATCCACAGCTGGGAACAGGAGAGCCATTCATCCCAGGACAGGGGCAGCTGCAGGGCCCCCAGTTCTCCTGGACACCTCCCAGTCCTGGCTCCCAGAAAGCCTTCTCCCTGGCTCCAACCCACTATGGTCCTGACCTGCAGAAAGCCTCTGTGCTAAGTCCCACCCAACCTTCACTCCTGGATCCACCTCAGGCCAGCCCCCACCCAGACAGGCTGGCATCCCCTGGCCAGGGCATCTCCAGGAAGACAGACAGCTCTGTCCTGGGCCTCAGGCTAGGAGGAAGCCTCAACACTTCACACTCTGGGGTTAAATAGAGCTTGTTGGTCTCAGACTGCCTCAGTTTCCCCATTGGGAAGGCACAACCTCTAGGGAGGTCCAGGTCAGAAGAGCAAGAGTTCCACTCCCAGCTTCCAACCTCCCAGCCCCATCATCCAGTCAGGCCCAGTCAGGGCCTATGCAAGTCCCTGGGAGAGTCCCAAGGGAGGGATACCGCCACCCCCTTTATCCTGTCCCTGAGACACAACAAATATTCCTCAGGGTTTTCAGAGCCTATGACACAGCTGCACCCATCTCCAGTGTGTGAGACTCTCCCAAGCATTTCCATTCTTAGAATCACCGAGTCAGCTCTGGAAGCAGCAGCCAGAGCCAACAGAGCCCTCATTACTGCTGGAGGGGACACAGAGGGCTAACAGCACCCTCACTGCTCTCCCACCTCCTCTGGATAGGCCTAGGGTCAGTAATAACCCAGGGTCACAGTGAAGCTATTGTGTGATTCCAGCTTTCCTCAGACCCACAGGGCTCACCCCAAACACCTGGCCCCCTGGCCAGGTTCCCAGGCTCCCTCCCTCTGCCTTCACTGGTGCTGGGCCTGGGGGAGGGATCAGGATAAGACTGGCTTTCAGCTGACCTCAAAGGATGGGCAGACCCAGGCCTGAAGGAGTTCACATTTCAGCAGAAGGGATCCCTAATCCTGGCAGCAATGGGCAAGAGAACCTGGGTGGTGCTGAGCAGCAGGTATCCAAGTTTGGTGACTCAGAGTACCCTCAGGACAACCTTGGGGTACCCAAAGATCTAGGAGAAGCCACTCAGGCTGGTCTGATTGCCTCCAGCTGTTTCCCTCTTCCTTCAACAATAGGCTAGCCGTGTGGTGTGTGTGGTGTGTGTGTGTGGTGTGTGTATGTGTGTGTGTGTGTCCCCTCCCTGCATCTAAGGCTTTGTCTGACCTGCTGGGATGGGGAAGCAGCTCTCCACCCCAGTGAGCCCCTCCCAGTGAGACTCCTCCACCCTGTGCCTTCCAGGAGACAGCACTGGGCGTCCAGTGACTCTCCAAGTCATCCCACCTGCCAGTTGCTCCTGCCCTGCCCACTGCATCTGGCCTAGGACTCCAGGGTCCCACCCCTGCATCCATGCCATATGTGAACGCCCATCTCTAATGGTACCAGAATTGGGCCCCTCTTTCCCACTCCAAACATGGCTGAGCTGAAGCTACAGAAGCTACCTGTAGCCCCCAACCCATCTGGGTACCCACTCCCACTCCACTCAGATTTCACACCTGCTTTTAACCCCCAGCTGGCTGGGTTTTCTCAGGTGGGGGCTATGCCAGGCTTCTGCTAAAGCTTGAATTTCAGAGGCAAGGGACCAAAGTAACCCCTTTGGAAGGCCACAGCCTATCTGTGCTCATTGGGTTTGAGGACCGGTTCTGGGCACAGGGATGACTCAAACCAGGCCTAGGAGGACCCCCAGCACGTGGCCTACAGGCCAAGTAAGCAGAGATGCTGGCGCTGGCCCAGTGGAGAGGAGCACTGGGCCCATCTTCCCATCCTGGAGAGCAGCCCAGGACCCTCCTGAGAGGGGCGGGGGGCCTGGATTGGCGCCCCCTCTTCCCCTTGTCAGCCCTAGGCGCGGCGGCATTCCCTGGACAGACAATTGATGATCGGGACCAGGCTGGATGACGGCCGGCGGGGGCGGGGTCGCGCCTGAGCGCCAGCGGTATTGGTGCCACAATGGGTGACAGGCTGAACGGCGGAACGCACGTACCTGCTTGTCCTCTGCGGGATTGGGATCGGGGTCGGGGTCGCGGTCGGGGTCGGGTCCGCGTCCGGGCCGGCGGGCGGGCGGGGGAGAGACGGAGAGATACGGTGAGAGGCGAGCGGGCGGCGGGGACAAAGGCGCGCGCGGGCACGCGGGCGGGAGCCGGGCTCACCTGGGGTCGCCAGCTTGCTCTTGTACCGCAGTCCTGTGCTCATGGTGGCCGCCGGCGGGGGGGACGTGCGGCGGCGGGCGCGCGGGCGGGGCGCGGCGACGAGCGGCGGAGGCCGAGGCCCGGCTGCGGGGTGACCCGCCCCTCCGCGCCGCCACCGCCCGCCCCGCCCGCGCGCCCGCCAGCCAATCGGCGCCCGCCGCGCCCACGCGCGACCCGGCGCGGCCAGTGGGGGCGGGGACTGAGGCGCCCCCCAAAGGCCCCCGGCTCTAGAGGCCTCGGGCGACGCCCTCGCCTCCCGCGCGCAGGGCTGTGCCCCGGGTAAGCAGGGGAGACCGGCGCTGCCCCGCCCTATGTGGCTGGCTGCTCCCATGTCCCTGTTCTCCCTGTCATCCAGCCGAGGCCTGGACTCTGCGATCCCTCCCCGCCCAGTCCATTCCTGGGCTTCTGATCATCCATCCGTGGGGCTATTCTGTAAAACCTGCGCCTGGGCTTTGTATGTAAGTGTCATGCCATCCTCTACACACTCAGCCTCACCCCATCAGTGGATGCCCCCTTCCCCCCATCATGATGGACTTGGAGGCGCTGGCCTGCGGAGCCCAGCTCCTGGTGGTGGTGGTCATTGGGCAAAAATCCATTGCCCCAGCTCTCCTCCTGCAGCCTGCTGAATGCTGGGCAGACCTGGGCACGCTGTAAAGCACATGCCAGCGGGTATTTGTCCAGCCTCTCTTGTCCTGGACCGCAAAATACCTGAAGCCTGCACTGCATCTCCTGTACTACAAACCCCCTGCTGTGGAGTGTGTTCTAGGTAGGTCTGCTGCCACTCTGGGGAGAAGGGTTGCAGGGGAAGAAGGGACAAGGTGAAGTTAAGGTCAGCGCCTGTGCCCCATTTATAAATGAAGAAGCTGAGGCCCCAGACCTTCAGTGAGTTGGTGAAGCTCATTGGCTCAGAGCATAAGTGGCTATGATCTTCCATGTAACTATTACATTTCCAGGTGCCCTTGGCCTCAAGAGAGTCCTCAGGTAGTGCCTCTGAGCCTTCTCCCTCAGAAACGGACTGTGGGATCTGTGATCACTATGTTCCCAGACTCGGGCCTTTTGGAAGTAAATGGCCTGCTGTGCCCAATCCAGGCAGTACCTTCCACAATCAGGAAATCCACCTCTGCCCCTCAGGTGCCCCTTAGTCCCTCTACTGGCCTGCGGGCTCTCTGGGCAGAGGCTGGTGTTGCCAGGACTCCTCTGTCTCAGATTCAGAGCACCCTGCACAGGGTTGTCTGCTCAGTAAGTGAAAAAGTGACAAAATCAGCATCTTTGATCCACAGTCCTTGCTCTGCCCCATTCTGTGGCCTATCCCCCTCTATCATGAACCTCCTGCAGGTCCAGAACTGTGACCAGCATGGGGATGCTGTACTGTCCCAGTCCCTCATTCAAAGCCTCAGCGCCAGATGTGTTCAGAACTCAGACTTTGGTGCTTGTTGTACATGGTGTGATGCCTCTTTGGAACCTGGGACCAAACTTCATAATCACGTGAACACATTAATAAACCTAAGAATATTTTCATGAACTAAAATACATAATATCTATAATAAA